AAAAAAAAAAAAAAAAAAAAAAAAAAAAAAAAAAAAAAAAACCTGTTGAGAAACTAGGCGGCAGATGTTTTCACTCAGTTGTGATGTTTTCACTCAGTTCTGCACACAGCCTGGGAGGTGACCAGATGGGCGGCCCGCCGCTCGGCCATCCCTCTCCTCCTGGTCATCCTTCAGCTTGAGCATGGGAAGAAGAGTAGTGCCAAGCGGCACCTATGATAACCCTCTCGGGTAGAAATCGTTGACCTGGAAGAAGTCCGGCGAGGCCCCGAGCATGAGAAGCCCGTTCCGTCTGCTGATGGGAGAATTTTTCCAAGACAATGGAATGCATGCTCCGAGTGCAATAGCCATCCTGAGGGAGTAGGGGTGGGGCATCTCTGCGGCAAGGAGACCCAGGGATTGGATGGGGGCCAAGACAGGGGGGAGCTATACTTTCTGAATAGGGAAAGCCTTTCTGTGTAGCGTAACCTGTGATAAGCTCAGACCCGTACCGCGCGGCTTCCCGTATCCCTGAGGAAAAATCCCCCGGAAGCCCTGAGGCACGGATGCGGACAAACAGGGGTTTTTCTTTCTTTTTGCTTTTGTTTTCTTTTTGAAATGGCTTTTTCATTTTTGGTCAACAACTCCCGCGCGGGCGAATAGCGGCCACGGTATGAAAATCAAGAAACGGTTTCGGTGGGGACTTTTTGAATTTTTGCGCACGCGCGCCTAAGCTCCGACTTCTTCGCGCGTCTTGCACCCCCGTTTCTTGCTTTGCATCCCCACGCCATCTTCCCTTCTTGCTGCGCGCATTTCCCCCATGCAGGACTCTTCGTCTTCCCCTCCGCCCAGCTCGATCCTTACTCCGCGAAGTGATTGGCCGCGTAGTTGGGATGCTCGTATCAATGTGGAGAGCGGGAAACCGCGCACCATTTGAACGGACACCCCAATCACGTAGGACCATGCCATCCCGCGGGTCGAACCCTCTAACTCCCCACCTTCCTCCTGTCCTGCTCATCTGCAACCTGCGCTGCCCGCCCCTCGCGCTGACAACCCGCTGCCTCCCGCGCTATAAATTCGCGCAACCCTCTCCTCTCTCTCTCTCTTTGATCTCGGCTGCAATGCTGCGCGAGCTATGCACGAAAGTCCACGGCGCCGAACAGGCTCGACGAGCCCAAGGACGGGCGGAGTGACGACGTGGGGTGGACCCGCGGTAGTCTCGGGGCGAAGCAGTCGGAGGGACTGAGCAGTGGTGGGGATTGGATGCCGGCCGCGGCAGGGCCTTGTGGCTATGGTGGTCGGTGGTCTTGGGAGGTTTGAAGGCTGCGCCTGGGGGCGGCAGTTAATTGAAATTTTTGTGTACAGGAAGGACTCGCTTTTATCTCCATTGCTGCTTCGTCTATGCATGTCGTGTGTGTGAAGCCCCGAGTGATGGGAGCTGGTTGTGCGCATGAGTGATGTCGAAGGTCTATGGATGATTAAATGTCCTGTCAAGGGTTGTTGATTGCATGCATGTATGTGTGTATGTACTTGTCCGGGCGGGGACGGGGGAACTGAACTGGGGGACCGTCTGCTTAGGAGTACGAGTGCATTGATCCTGTTGTTCCTCTCCCCTCCGCGGCCTTTCCTGCGCGCACGCGCAGTCTCGGCGTAACTCACTCTCTCTCGATCGCCTTCCTTTTTGAACTGATAGTCATCGCTTTTGAACTTCTCGTCCCTGTCCCGGTGACGTCAACCGCCTGCGTCCATGCGGACGGTCGATGCCCCCGCAAGGGGAGAGAGCTTACATTTCGTCATCTTCCCCCAACGCACCCACTTTTGAGAGAGAAGAGTTGCGTCGAGTGTTGTATGGAGTCGGTGTTGGTTCGGATGACCGGGAGCGCGGGATCTTGCCCGTGTTCATCGCGTACCTCCGATCGTCTCATCTCGCTACCCACCTTCCCAATCACAGATGACAATAGCGTCTACTGCGATGCGGACGTACGGCGCGCGCTGAGGCGGACGGAGCAAGTGTGTTGGCAAGACCCGCCTCAGGCTTGTGATATAAGGGGGAACGGGTTTGTCTTGATTGATCGTTTTGATTCCCCGACTCTAATATTGCCCTATACGGGATTAACTGTGTTGCCCTGGTCGGCCGCTCACGCCGCGTGGCGACCGCGGTTTGATTGTCACTGGTGTCGCCAGGGGGACTCGTGTTCTTGGCGACGCTTGGTCCTGGGTTACGAGGGAGCGACACGTTTCCCCGAGCTCTCCCGTAATGCGGGGGCGCTGCCGCGCAATTTCGAATTCGGATGCCGGCGAGTCCTCCCGCCGCTTCACCCTCTCAGAAACTTCTGCGCGGACTGTACGAGTCCGTCGCCGAGGCTTGAAGGCCTCGAACCAACCACTTCTACAACAAAAACCCGACGGTTCGGTCACTTCACGTGGTCGATGACGAGGCCTGAAGGCTTCGAACCCACTACCTATCCCTCAAACCCATGACGGTCGGAGTTTCTGTCTTCTGCCGCCATGGCCCTCTCCTCTGGATGCCCTTTCCCGTCCCGATGCACGACGGTAGTTCATTTTTGCGGAAACCCTTCTGATTTTATCGCTCCGAAGTGATCCGACCCCCACGGGACTTCGTGACGATAGTTCGACTCCGGGGTAACCTCTGGCACGAAACGAGAGCCTCCCGTTCCGTCCGGGAGACTTAACCCCTACGGCCAAAAATCCTCAGCCACGCCCCTCCTAGAACTCTGATCGGTGACCCAGTACGGGAAGCTGAGAGGGGGCGTGAGGTTGGTATCAGAGCTGATTTGTTTCGGCTCCGAGGTTTTCCTAGGTTAAGTACCCAGTTTAAGAGTTTTTCCTTTTTGATCTTTTTAGTAGATTTTTCACATTTTTGAGTAGGCTGGCTCCCTGTCGACGGCGGCCCGCGAATAACAATCAGAACCGAGGGAGAGGCCGGGCTCGAGGTCCGCCTCCCGCGATGGTTGAACCCGGAATTGGGGGTGGAAACGACGACGATAACCACGCGGGGATGGCCAATCATCCCCTGTATTTTGTACCTCCTCCCTCTGAGGTTCCCATTTTTTCCGAAGATGATACCGACCCTCGCACCTGGCTAGCTGCCTTGAAAGCCCAGGGCTGGTCAGAACAGTTGCTCCGATAACGAATTCCCGGAAGGTTAGCCGGAACCGCTTTTGAGTGGTATGGACAGAACCCTTTCACTAATTGGTTAGCCTTCCAGAGGAAATTTCTCGACAGATTTGATCACATCGCACCAGGTCAATGCCTCCGTCTAATAAAGGAATATACGCAGCAGCCTCAGGAGACCTTGGCTAGATATGCTGAACGCTTTATGTACCTAGCCGAACGCTCCGGGGTGGAAGAGAAAATGGTACGGACTGATTTCGTCAAAGGATTGTCAGATTCTCGCCTGCGGAAAAGATCCGCAAGAAATGCAACCCAATAGAACATACCGTGACGGAGCTAATTCAGTACGCAATTAAGTACGGGAAAGAAAATTACGATGTGGGCCTGGACTTAGAATCCGACGAAGACGACCCTTCGGGTGTTAGACGCAATAGCTACTCCGCTACGACTTGAATGTTCGAAGATCGCTTCGGGTTGGGTCCGACAAAAAAAGGCTCGGATCGGAAAGCTTCTTCCTCTGCTTCGACCTCCTATCGCTCTAATCAAGCACAAGGAGGCCGGGGCGAGGAAGAAGTGTCCATGAAAGAGGTCGCGGCCCAATAAGTTACGGTAGTGGCCCCGTTGACGGAGTTTGTTCAGGGCCTGCAGCGGCAATGCATAGTCGCCGCACAACGGCAACAAGCGGCTATGGCCGCCGGGGCCCCTATGATAAGACCGGTCGTGGCCGGGGCTGTCCCGCCCCTATGCTGTTATAACTGTAATCAGCCAGGCCACCTTGCGAAAGATTCTCCGAAACCTCAAACTCAGGGTGGGCCCGCTGGGCCCACCGGACCTTCCCAAATCCCGCTGGCTGCTCCAACCGTTGCAGGACAGGGGAGGGTAGCCACAGTAATGGACACAGGAACGACGGAGATGGTGACCCCTGCGGCCACTTAGATAGGACCCGATGAGTATATGGTGGCAACGATGTTCGAACCCGGGACCATCAGAGTGATACGTCATGTCCAACGGATTACCGAGGAAAGCGACCTCGGGCCGTGGCGACCAGGGTTCGAAGATCTTGCGGCACCTGGTCCTGAATACAAGGATGGCCATATCGACGTATTGGATGCCTTAAAGACTCTGGATCTACGGATCCCCGTCCCTATTCCCTATCTGCTAACCATTTCCAAAGCGGCTAACGAAAAGTTGATCGAACGATGCCTCAAAAACAGGCGCCGATTCGAGGAAAGTCGAAAGGGCAAAAAGTCGGTCCTACGAGACCCACCCACAAACAAGGAGTCACAGCCCTCGACCTCAAAGGTGCACGAAGCCAACCGGATAGGAATGATCCAGACCGTAGATTCCGCCTCGAAAAGATCTGAGGTATTCCTCTGGGCCTATCCTATAACCTGGAAAAGCGTTGAGTGTGACTGCGAGGTTTGGGGAAACCCCTCGGCCGCCATCCTAGACTCGGGATCGTCAGCAGTCGCCATTTCTTGAAGATTGACGAAACGATTGGGAAGGGAAGAACAGGTTCAGCTAGACAGCATTCATTGTAAAGGGTGGATAACGAACGTGCCTATATGGGTGGGGCGGGTGCATTGTTTATGCGACGCAATCGTGCTGGATGTACAAGCGTATGATGTTCTGCTAGGCATTCCATGGCAGGCGGCGGTTGGAGCGCGAATGCACTTTGACAGCTGTAAGGTGGTGCTCACATCGGCCCACCCCAAACCACAAATGATACCAATGAGATTGGCGGTGCGTATGCGTACCCAGCCGGCGCCTCGAATCACCACGAAAGCCCACCAAATCAACATGATCCAACCCCTGTCGCTAGGCGAAAATGAAACCTCGTCGGGAACTGACGAGACTGACGTTCCCGACCGATATCCGGTCCGGGTTCAGGATCGGTGGCGCCATTCCTGGTGACGAGAACCCCAGGAGAGTTCGGAGCGAGTCCAATTGGTCGCACGCGTTCTCCTCCGTGGTGCAGGGGGAACCCCTGCTAAGGGTGTTCCGAATAGCTGACCTTTCGGAACCCCCTGCGTCCTTATATCTCAGGACGGACCCCCTACCTGAAAGATTTACCAAGCTTAGGGGGCTGTGCGATTTATCTTTTCGACCTCACGGCCCCGACTCACGAATGAAAAAGCCGCGATACTTTTGAAAGAGGGGGTGTCATTTCAACCCCGAACCAGGGAATATCGGTGGGGACCGAGGGAACTGACGCAGGCCTTTTCGGTAGAACCCTCGACCGAACCCGAACTGGACAGTGACAGTGACATGGAAAGCGAGTCGATGAGTCCGGCGGACAGTCAACTTATTGCGACTGTCCTTTCGGCGAAAACGGACAACTCTTTGTTTGGGGCCTCGCCCGATGCCAGCGCGGCGGTCCCCACGGTTACGACGACGGTCTCCCTTCCTGGGGGAACCGTAGAAGTTCAGTTACCAGCCCGTGTTCCGGATGAATACAGACGCCTCCTCCYGGCGGTTATACGGGCCTATCCTGAGGCCGTCAGTATTCAGGACCACGACATAGGGCTAACCCCTTTGATACAGCACGCGATTGATACCGGGGATCACGCCCCAATACATTGCCGACCGTACCGATATTCCCTTAAGGAAAGACAACTGATGTTGGAAAGGGTACGGGAATTCGAGCGGTTGGGGTGGGTCGAACCATCGCTGGGACCGTGGTCTTTTCCCGTGGTCCTCGTGCCAAAACGAAATGGTTCGGTCCGGGTATGTATCGACTACCGAAAATTGAACGCTATCACTACCAAAGACGTGTATCCCTTGCCGCGAATCGACGATTTATTAGATGCTATCGGGTCTGCTCGAGTCTTTTCGAAGTTCGATATCCGACACGGTTTTCACCATGTCGCAGTCCGACTGGAAGACCGACCCAAAACCGCTTTTGTCCTATTTGAGGGCACGTGGCAATGGGTCCGGTGTCCCATGGGAATTTGTAACGCCCCTGCAACGTTTCAGCGGGCCATGAATATGGCCTTCGCTGAGTTCGTTAACAAAACCTGACTAACCCAACCCCTGATCGATTTCTGCGTGATTGTGTACATGGATGATATTTTGGTCTTTTAAAAAACACACGAGTACCACGTGGAACACATTGAGTGGGTTTTGCATGCACTAAAAGGTGCGGGGTTCAATGTGGTCTTGGAGAAAAGCGAGTTCTTCTTGTCGCAGATCTCATTCTTGGGGTACATCGTCACGGTCGATGGACTAAAACCGGATCCGAGGAAGGTGGCAGCAGTTCAAGAAGCCCCGGCGCCGGTCACACTCACCCAGGTTCGGGCTTTTCTAGGGCTGGCATCCTATTACCGACGCTTCATCAAGGGGTTCGCCAGTGTAGCGAAGCCCCTAACGAACCTGCTGAAGAAAGAGGAGCAGCTGATTTGGACGTCGGAATGTGAAGCGGCGTTTCAAGCGTTGAAGGAGGCTCTGACATCTGCTCCTGTGTTGGCGCGTTCCGACCCGACAAGACCGTTCGCACTGTATACCGACTGGCAGCCGCAGGCGATATCAGCGGTGCTGACTCATGACGGGGCGGACCAAAGAGAACATGTCATTGAGTATGCGTCCAAGACGCTGAGCCAGGCGCAGGCTAATTACGAAGCGTGCAAAGGCGAATGTCTGGCGGTGGTGTGGGGGATTCAGCATTTCCGACCGTATCTTTACGGCCAGAAATTCGTGCTGGTAACGGATCATCAGCCATTGTTGTCCCTACGCAACAACACGGACTACACGGGGACGCTCGGAAGGTGGGCGGTGTGTCTGCAGGACTATGACTTCGACATCCGCCACCGTGCCACACGGCAGCATGGCAACGCCGATGGATTGACGCGCCTCCTGCCGCCCAACAAGTGTCCGCCGTGCACCGTATTCGCATCACAAATCTTGTGGTGGTTGTAATCGACACAGAGGATGTTCCCCCACTTCCAACACCTGTGCGCCTTCCATGTCCACGACAGTGTGGCGGATATATCTGTTGTACAATGACTGAGCGGAAACCTAGTGGATAAAACACGAGGGCCTCAAACCTCATTAAGAACATTCGACGTCCACGACCGTCTGGCGGATATATCCGCTATATAGTAAGAGATGTTTCGATGCACAACAAGAGATGGCTCATTACGCACAACGAAAGGGGTTCGATGCGCAATAATAGGGGTCAACAAGAGGGGTTCGATAACACAACAAAAGAGGTTTCGATGTACAACGAGATAGATGTCATTATGCACAACAAAAAGGGGTTCGATGCACAACAAGAGGGGGTTGATGATTTTAATGCACAAGCAGAGGGGTTTGATGCATGACGAGATGGTGTTTGTCTGCACTAGCAGAGGGGTTTCTATGGAAAGCAAGAGGTGTTTCAATGCACACCAATAGATAGCTCATTACGTGCAACTTAAGGAGTTCGATACGCAACAAAAGGGGTTCGATAAACAACAAGAGGTCGGTGCACAACAAGAAAGGTTTCGCCGCAAAGCAAGAAAGATTATATTATGCATAACAAAAGGGGTTTGATGCACAACAGGACGGGTTCGGTGCACAACAAGAGGGGTTTGATGCGCAGCAAGAGAGGTTTCGATGCACAGTACGAATGTTTCGATCTTCTATGGGATGGGGTCCAAAAGGTCTGCGCATGACAAGATGAGATTTGATGAAAAGACAGCACTGGGTCAAAACAACAGGGAGTCGCGTGATGCTGACGTCAGCATACCTTAGTGCTGATCGAATGGCTGGCTCCCTCGTTCAATGACAATCTCCGCGGATGTCGAATCTCAACAGCGCAGAGCAGCTCGCCCGAGAATCCACGTGGAGACGATTGGAGGCCTCGAACAGGATTGCAATCGTCGTGATGACGGAGGACGGCGGAGCATGAAAATGGAAGAGCTAGTCGATGAAAATGGCCATCAAGGATGATGACATTCCGGAAAGATGGTGTGCAAGGGAGATGGCGGTTTAGGAAGATGAAGGCGACCGCATGAACGACGATCAGAACATAGGCAGCGAGGCGTAAAATGAGATGAGGAGGACCAACGAAATGGAGGAGCGAGTAAAAGCAGATAAGGAGGATCACAATCAACGGAAATGGCTGTTCGGGAAGACAGCGTGCCTTGAGGACGAAGGTGATTAGAACGAAGATGGCGGGAGCAACGACGAAGAAATCGCCTGAAGCGCTTGGACAAAGATGGCTGGAAGGATGCCCGTGGTACACAAAGTAAATGGCAATCGTGACAGAGATTGCGATCGAGCAGTGGATGGCAATGGGACAGATGCCGGGACGTCGATAAGTAGACAGATGACGATCGGGACAGGTGGAGAATGGCGATGGGACAGTAGATGGCGATGGGACAGATGTCGGGACGTCGATATCTAGACAGATGGCAATCGGGACATGTGGCGATCGTGAAGTAGATGGCGATGGGACAGATGCGAGAGATATGAACAGGAGAAGAAGGCGGTGCGAACAAAGATGACACGACGTGCAGGAATGGGAGCAGAGCAAAGATGGTGGCAACGCGAGACAATGGAGAAGCGTTGTGAAGAAGTGGCCGGTACGTAGATGGAGGCGGAACGAACGCAAATAGCTGGTGGGATGGAGAAGCACTTTGGAAAAGGTGGAACGAACGAAGATGGCGGCAGTGCGAGAAAAGACACGTGGCTGGTACGGAGATGGAGGCGGTCGGGAAAGAGATGGCGGAGCTTGGAGACGAAGGCGATCGGGACGTGGCTGGTAGTGTACAAAGACGAAGGAAGTAGGGACAGAGATGGCCGAAGAGCAAAGATGGCGCGAGAGACAGGAAGGGGAGAAGAAAGCGGTGGGGACAAAAATGACGCGAGGACACGAACGGGAGAAGAACGCGGCAACAACGACGATGGCGGGCGGGATGGATAACCGTGATGAAGGAGCGCGAGAGGAGAAGCCCGGCATGGTACCCGCGTCAACAAAATCAGCCGACCTGCGCTCCAAGAACTCATATGCCGCCACGAGCAGGCGGGAACTCTTCAAAATTTCGGGCGCCAATGTGAAATTTTTCGAAACGACGAAGGCCCGTGAGTTTTTCAGAGGGGTGGGCCCGCCTCAGCCCCTGCGTGCCTCGGCCTTCGAACAGTTTCCAAAATCCCACGGCGGTCGATGAGAATCGGTTCATCGGACGGCCAAGACTCGTCGACGCAAATTGTCCGATCCCGCTTCAATTGAGTTGGTCGTCGACGAGCAAATGGTCCTCCAAAAGACATCGCACTGCAAATTTTCGTTCATCGCACGGCTGTCATTGACCATCTGCTCATCCGACGGTCAGGAATCGTCGATGCACATGTGGTCATTTCCGCCTGGGACACGTCACTCTCACATGGTCAGTCCGCACGTCGTCATTCTACAATTGCAATCTTGGACGCGGCATACTCGGTCGTCGCCGGCGACAGCTCCGACATCGCCACGCCAACTTGAAGGTGAGAAGTCGCCCTGCTTCCTCCGCCAACGGCCATGCTTTCGTCCAAGTGGGACCGGTCGTCTACGATGCTACTCGTGGACAGTCTTGTATGTTCGTCGCGCTTGCAAGAGACATTGCATGGAGCGCAATGAGTGACGGCATCTAGAGAGCCGTTGACGTCAACTTCCCAGTTTCACTCCGAACCGCTCAGATGATGACCTAGTTGTCCCCCGCTTTAGTTTCGACGGGCGAACCAAACAGACGCCGACGAAGCGAAGCTTCAGATGTCGGAGAGTGAAACTGAAGGTGTCCGCAGTGAAGTTGGGTCGTTGACGTCAACGACTCTCTGAATGACGTCACTCATCGCGTTTCAATGCAATGCCACTTCTTGCACGCCATATTCCCTTGAACAAAAGCCCCGAACCATCCTTCCCCGTCCTTGATGACAGGCTCGTTCTTGCCAAGGAGTAGCACTGCAGCAGCCAACCCCCATGGACAGCTGCAACCCGCAATACATCAACTTCCTAGACCTGTTCCGCCACGTCAACCCGCATCGAACCCCTCTTGTTGTGCATCGAACCCCTCATCAGATCTCGAACCCCTCATCAGAACCAAACCGGCAAAAGGTCTGCAGAACCCTCGCTGGAGAGCAAACACCGTGCATCGTTAGTGACAACAATTCGATCGTTCTTGCCGACGACCTACAGCCATTCAGCACCTCCCTAGACATGGACCAATCGAACACCACCTCCCTAAACTGGTCGTCAGCTTGGACTGCATCCTCGTACCATATCGAACACCATTATCGTTCCAGAGAATCCCCTAAAGCGTCTGTACTCGAGGACCTGCCGAATGCGTGGTCGTGCAGCGGATAAATCCGCCATTCCCGTGGCCATGAACTGTGGCGTTCCCTTGCGAGTGAAGTGTTGTGCACGTCATGCTGTGCCAGCCTGTGCGCGTTTCCTCGCTGGTCAAGTGCTAGTCATGTTGTGCACGTTCCTTCGGCAATCACCTGCGGGGCACCAGAAACTAAAGATTGCACGGTCGAGTTTACGTATGCCTTATGTCATCAACTGCGAATGTATCCGTTGCACGGCATAATCAGGTTTACGTATAGTCCATATTATGTGCGGCGGGTTGTATGTGGTGGATGTATCCGCTCCACGGATTCGTCCTCCGAGCTAGCAAAAAACCTGCATTATTTGTTCTGCGGATGTATCCGGCGTCGGGAAAGGAGTCAGTCCCTCGTATGTCCACACTAAGGGTATGGAAATCAAGGGCTGCTCTGTCGGGTTTAAGTATGGTTCGTGTCATCGTGCGAGCTTGCAAAAAGCCTGCATTGTTTGTTCAGCGGTAATATCCGGCGTTGGAAATGGAATCAGTCCGTGGAACTCAAACACCAGGAGTACGCGAATCAAAGGTTGCACGGGAAGTCCGTCAGTAGCGGTGGCTGCTCGTGAATGCGTGTTAAATTTTGTGTTCGTAATGATCCACGTCGTCTGTGGCGGATCTATCCGCTGCACGACTTGGTCGGGTTTACTTGTAGTCCATGTTATATCTGGCTGGTTGTATGTGGCGGATATATCCGCTTCACGAATTTGTCGTCCTGACTAGCAAAACGCCTCACGTCGTCTGTGGCGGATGTATCCGCTGCACGACTTGGTCGGATTTACTTATGGTCCATGTTGTGTCTAGCGAGTTGTATGTGGCGGATGTATCCGCTCCACGGATTTGTCGTCCAGGCTAGCAAAACGCCTGCCTTATTTGTTCTGCGGATGTATCCGGCGTCGGGAACGGAATCGGGCCCTCAAACTTTCACACCAGGGGTATGCAACTTAAGGGCTGCCTTGTCGGGTTTAAGTGTGGTCCGTGTCATCTGTGGCGGATGTATCCGCTCCACGGCTTCATCATGCGACCTAGCAAAGACTGCGTTATTTGTTCGGCGGAAATGGGATCAGTCCGCGGAACTTGAACACCACGAGTACGCAAATGCGAGGCTATACGTTAGGTCTGTCGGGAGTGCGCAAATTAAAGGTTGCACGGTAAGTCCGTCAGTAGCGGTGGCTGCTCGTGAATGCGTGCTAAATTCTATGTCTGAAATCCATGAATGATCCATGACGTCCGTGGCGGATGTATCCACTGCACGACTTGGCGAGTTTACTTATGGTCCATGTTGTGTCTGGCGGGTTGTATGTGGCGGATGTATCCGCTCCACGAATTTGTCGTCTAGGCTAGCAAAATGCCTGCCTTATTTGTTCTGCGGATGTATCCGGCGTCGGGAACGGAATCGGTCCCTCAAACTTTCACACCAGGGGTATGCAACTTAAGGGCTGCCCTGTCGGGTTAAGTGTGGTCCATGTCCTCTGTGGCGGATGTATCCGCTGCACGGCTTCATCATGCGACCTAGCAAAAAGCCTACCTTTCGGCAGCCGCCATCTAAACCCTACCAGCCGATTGCCACCATCTAAAGCCTACCGTTCGACAACCGTCATCTAAAACTTGTGTCTCGGCAGACGCTGTCGAGTAGGAGGCTTTGGACAGCTGCCATCTAAAGCCTTCCTTCGGGCAGCTACCATCTAAAACCTTTCTTTGGGCAGCCGCCATCAAAATCCTTCCTTCCCGTAGCCGCCATCTAAGACCTATCTTTGGGTAGCCGCTATCTAAAACCTACCTTTGGGAAGCCGCCATCTAAATCCTACCTTTCGGGGCCCGTCAACTAAGACCTATTTTTCGGTGGTCGCCATCTGAATGTTCCTTTGGGCAGCTGCCATCTACATCCTACCTTTCGGCCGGCGCCATCTATAACCTATCTTTGGGCAGCTGCCATCTGAATTCTACCTTTCCGCAGCCGCCATCTAAATCCTACCTTCCGGCAACCGCCCTCTAAAACCTATCTTTGGGCAGTCGCCATCTAAATCCTACCTTTCGGCAACTGCCATTTAAAGCCTGCCTTTCGGAAGCCGCCATCTAAGACATATCTCCGAGCAGTCGCCATGTTAAGTCTACCTGTCACGAGGGTATTTTCGTAGCATATCGTCGACGTCACTCGGGTCCAGAACTCGGCCAGTGCAATTGGATGTTGAACTTGCTAGGGTTGTGCACCGGATATATCCGCCACTCAAATTTCCGTTATAGTTTGCTCGAGTTGCTTTCATTCTGTTGGGTTCGTGTCATTCGCTGGTTCAATAAGAATCGCTCCATGACGATAGTACTGATCCAACGCGCTGCAATGCATGTCCCGAGATTCGATGTGAGTTGAGCCAGCCTTGCAACGGGTTATCGAACAACAAGTAGTTGTGCGCCAAATGCAGCCTTTCAACTCATGCTATACTCTTTCGACGGTTCCCTGTAAAGGCGCAAACAATGCTCCGGTGACTGACCGACTGACTCTTCAGCACATCACGAGGGTGCCTTCGCTAGCATGTCGTCGACTGCAATTGGTGTGTTGAATCGACTACGGCTTTGCGCCGGATACATCCGCCACTAAAATTCCCATTGCGGTTTCGTAGTCGTGCTTTCACTCCAAGTATGGGTCATTCATCTGTCCAGTAATAGTCCTTCTACGGCAGTAGTAGCCGTCGAGTTTGCTGAAATGCAACAGCCGCCATCAATTCCTACCTTTGGGCAGCCGCCATCAAAATTCTACCTTGTGGCGGCCGCCATCTAACACCTGTTTTCGGGCAGCCGCCATCTAAACCTTCTTTTGGGCAGCCGCCACCTAAACCCTACCTTCCGGGAGCCGTCATCTAAATCCTATCTTTGGCAACCACCATCTAAATTCTATCTTTCGGGAGCCGCCATCTAATACCTATCTTTGGCCAACCGTTATCTAAAACCTGTCTTTGGGCAGCCGCCATCTAATCCCTGTCTTTGGGCAGTCGTTATTTTAAACCTGTCTTTGGGCAGCCGCCATCTAAAACCTATCTTCGGGCAGCCGCCATCTAAATCCTACTTTTCGGCAGCCGCTATCTAAATCCTATCTTTCGGCAGCCGCTATCTAAATCCACCTTTCCGGCAGCCGCTATCTAAATCCTATCTTAATCCTGTCTTTCGGCAGTCGTCGTCTAATACCTATCTTTGGGCAGCCGCCATCTAAAACCTATCTTTGGGCAGCCGCCATCTAAAACCTATCTTTGGGTAGCCGTCATCTAAAACCCATCTTTGGGCAGCCGCCATCTAAATCCTGCCTTCGGCAGCCGCCATCTGAATCCTATCTTTGGGCAGCGGCCAACTAAATCCTAGTTTTCAAGAGCCACCATCTAATACCTTTCTTTGGGCAGCCGCCATCTACATCCTACCTTTTGGCAGCCTCCATCTAAACCCTATCTTTGGGCAGCCGCCATCTAAATCCAGCCTTTCGGCAGCCGCCATCTAATGCCTATCTTTGGGCAGCCGCTATCTAAAACCTGTCTTTGGGAAGCCGCCATCTAATCACTATCTTTGGGCAGCCGCCATCTAAAACCTATCTCAAGGCAGCCGCCATCTAAAACCTATCTTAGGGCAGGCGCAATCTAAAACCTATCTTTGGGG